AATCAACATTTTTTCGAATCAACCAAAACCCAGCTAAAGCGAGCGTATTTTAGCTTGTGCGAATCAGGGGATTTTAATTCGAATTTTGGCGTTTCCATCATAATTTTACGATGCGATACTTCTAAATGTGCATCTAAACAGGCTGATGGAAACATGGCTAAAAAGGTCTATTGGCTCCATGATGCTAGTAATAAGTAGCTTACCATCTTCAAATTACATTATCAGCTGATGTTACAAGCAAGAATAAGTAGAATAAGTTACAGCTAGCTGGCTAACATTAGCTCAGGATACGGTTAGCTTGTTAGCCGCTACGCATCGCTCTTGGCTAGTAGAGAGCACTTTGGACAGTTAGGGCTTTTTTTGTTTGGTTTAATTAACACCAATTGTCATAATACATAAATTAGTATCATGTATCACGTTAGCTGGGGAAGTAATTTGGCAGGTTAGCCAACTAACAAATCCGCTAAGATAGTGTTTTGCTAGCGCTAATGTTCACGAGTAAAGGGTTGTGTCCACATAAGTATTTTTTTCTAAGGCTGGTGTATTTTTGTAATGCTTCGCAATGGGAGCGCCGTGTATTTACGCTGTGCTACAAACGGCACCAGTGCAACAAATGTGAGTGTGAATTCTGAGCGCTGCTGGTTGTGCGTTTTTCTGAGCGCCAAGAAAAATGTTCAGCTTTGGGTAAAAATGCATCACTCATCATGATCACTTTACCTGTTCAGTCACAGTGGAGACAAGGCGTCACATCATGTACAACTGTGGAAGGGAAGTCTGTTAATATTCTGTAAATACATTGTTTACTGACATGAACCCACACAGACCAGCAGATTTGTCTTCTCTCCCTGCATGCCTCAGCCTTTCCTCATCCAGAGCAAGTCCTCTACCTTGTGCTGACATGTTCACTTCCACAGATTTTACGCATAATAGCAACGAGACGTGACCAAAGCGCTCTCAAACGCTCCTAGCTGGCACTGTTGCCAACTCCTCAGTAAGAAAAGTAGCTATTGGCTGTCCTAAAAGTCGCTAGCAGTCGCTAAATGACATCATCGCCTAATTTGCATAATTGTCCATATGTATGTAATTGTAATGGCTGCTGTAGGAGAGAGGAATAACGTCGTGGGAGAGACAAAAACTGAGTAAAAAAACACCCTGAATATGTTTAGAACTACAAATGAACCTTCTTTCACTGATTTATATTAGACAAAGAAAATTTAACATTTACATCCCGCCCTGACTGTAAACCAGGTCGGGATCAGCCAGCGGCGGTTCCACGCATGTGTGATTCACTTGCAGTCTGGACATGGAGGGGTTAACATCTCCTGCTCTGACTGCAGCTGGGAGGGAGGACTGGGCCGTCTATGAGTGCTTTGGGGCGAGGGAAGGGCCCACGGCAGCATCCGCTGCTCGTTGAGAAGAATAAGAATGATACATGCTCTCACAATAGAGTCTCCAGAAGTCTTCAATAACATCAGAAAAGATTTTCGCTAGATTTGTCGCTAGTCGCTTTTTTGAAAAAGAGTCGCTAGAGGGGTCTGAAAAGTTGCTAAATATAGCAACAAAGTCGCTAAGTTGGCAACACTGCTAGCTGGTCGTCTCCTCAGGAGTGCCCGGCGTTTTCAGCTGGAAAAAAAAATGCTTTGGTGGACATGGGGCCTATAAGCAAGCTATGGTAGCCAGCTATCTGTAACTAAGCTATGCTGCACTGATCTGATCTGGTGTTGGTTGCTTCATAACATTAGCTGCCAAAGTAATTTGCAAATGGCAAGACGACTAACGAATTAAAGGTCCCACATTATGCTAATATTTGGGTTCATACTTGTATTTTGGGTTTCTATTAGAACATGTTAACATACTTTAATGTTCAGAAACACATTTTTTTTTCCTATACCGTCTCCCTGAATACACCTGTAATCACCCTCCGTCTGAAACACACCGTTTTTCATTGGTTTCACTGGAATTACTTTGCTAGGCAACAGCTTGGCTTCATGTTTATGTCCTGTCAACTGAGGTCATTCACATACACTGCAAAACTTTCCAACAGGAAATACCAAAGGACCCATTTATAATATTTGTTTCAAACAGTCTATATAGTATAGTTGTGACATCACAACTTTACGAAAGTCCTGACGGCTCATTTCGAGGCACACTTTCTGAATTCGGACTGTGTGCGTGTCTCCGTGGATTAACCATTTTGTTACTCACACAGTGATTATAGCACCTATACCTGCTTTATTTTTAAAAATACATGATCAAAATACATGAAATACAAATCTGACATTTCAAAATATAGGACCTTTAACTAGCCAGATCAGCCCCAGAGTCCTTACAAATTAAATTATGTTAACTATGCAAGATGGTATTTTGCTATTTAAGCTTGTAAGCAATCTTATATTACACATATTTTACAATATGTTTAACATGTCAGCACTTCCTCTAATGTTAGGATTTACTTTCAGCACCGGGGCGAACTGAAATTATGGCATCAGGCACTTAATTTGATAAATTTATTACACCACAAATAAGACAAGAATAAGCTTGCTAGCACAGCCTGCAGACCAGTGGCGAAGTGGTAGTTGATGAGGTGGGTGTGCTACTAGGTAGATGGGTAGGTTACCAAAGAGGAAGTGGGTGCACTTACCTGTATATTCCAATGGCTTTTTGACTGATACTGTAGGTGGGTGTACTGTAAACGGCCAGAAGAGAGGTGGGTATACCCCATATTAACTGACATGGACCCTCCGCCTCTCTCCCTGCCACAAGGACACTACTTCCTTGGAGTCGAGAGGGCGGCCTGGGATCAAACCCCTGGTGCTCAGCATGGTCTTGCTCTAGCTGAAATTGACTTGCTAAGTGAACACTAAGTGAAGGTCTGTCTCCACCGAGCCACTGCTTTAAAATGCAAATAACACAAACAGCAAGTGTGGACTCTCGTGGTGGTGGGTGTTGTTTTTTTATTGACGTTAGTGGACTGCATTTCCTAGCTAAAGTTTGCTAATGTTGCACACTTTAAGCGCTGTAGCAAAGCTGAAGAGAGGCAAGGCACTCGGGAACATGCACAAAGTTACATCCTTTGGATTTTGTGGGATAAATTTAGCCCGAGTCCCTTACATAGTAGTCTGTCCACAGGCTGCTAGAGGCAAGTTACGTTACAACCTGTTTACCCGCAATAAAAAACACTGGTAAGAAGTTAATACACAACCTTTAAACAAGACACCGATGGCTGGTTTTGCCACCAGAGTGTTATTGAAATTCCTGTATGGTAATGATACAGTATCATTACATCCTGTTTGTGACTCTGTAAGTGGAATGACTTTGCTAAAAGGCTTCATGTTCCCCAAAAAAGTGTTTTCATGCACTTGCAATTTCTCTAGCACCAGCACCTGTCAGGCTAACTGAGGGTCTATAATTTCCCTTCAAAACAGAGCTTTGATTGACATGTTGACAGCAAATCACACACTAGGTGACCAGGCGTATAAATTGTAAACGGTGTTGGACATGTTGGGCAGATGCTTGCAAAAGAGAAGGGGATAGAGCCCCTGGGATCCGTGCGGAGGCAAACAATACCTAGAATAAAATGCTTCGAGAATTTCAACCAGATGGAGGATCGCAGTTATAAAAGTTATGAAACTGCAAAAACAAGCTGACATTTCTGTCATACAGTGTTCATTTAAAATGTCACCTTGTTTTTTAATGTACGTTCACGCTGAATTACAGCTCAGTTGTGTCACAATGATGCTGAAATATGGAAAACTGCACTTTTCAGCGGACCTTTAATATAGCGAAAGTGTTCAAGCTGAGTTAAAACTGCGGCAGAGTGTTGTTTCTACTCACCCTCCAGTCGCAATTATGTCATTATCAAAGCCACACAAAAGCCCACAGTGGGCTAACTCCAATAAAGTGAAGGAGTATCCTGTTGTTCAGCGCGAGGCACAGGGAAGCAGTCGTTCCATGGCTCCCACAACAGCAATGCTGAATCATCTCGAAAAGCATCCATCTATTTCTGCGAGCCAGGGAGCTGGCCTAACCAAATTAGCATGACAACATTTGTGCAAGCTCCTTGGAAGTGTGACAGAGAGAATATCAGCTTCCATTGCCAATGTCATTGCTAAAGATATGGAAGAGATCAGTTCTGCAGACAATGCAGCGTGATGTGAGTGATTCCCTTTGTGCATAATCTGCTTTACCCTTTTCAAAATGTGGCAAAGTGAATATTTGAGTTTGTTTTTAGGACGCGCAATCAATAGCTGGCAATGAGAAAATGGATTTACGCACACACCTATTGGATTATAGCACAGGGGAGAGTTGCATCACATCCCGTCTATTGTTAAAAAACAAAGTGCCGTGATACTCTCACACGCCCGTCACACAAAACCCTCCGCTGAGTTTTGTCAATAACCACTTATGTAAACTCTGAGTGGTCTTTATTGTAAACTGAAATATTCCTATAACCTGCTGTAGTACATGTGTGAACAAGTTTTAAAGTGAGCACTTGTGGGTGGTACAAGTTGAATTGGTCACTGCTTAGTTGTTCTCCATTATTGAGAGTGTATCGCGCCCATGTGCAGCCATTCAGGAAATGTAAGCACTCCAGTGTGTGGATGACCCTATAATGGCATTATTTACATTAATCAGTGCTTTACATCACCTGCATATTTTAGAAAATCATTTAGCTGGACATCGTGGAGAGCTGCTTTGTATTATGCAAATGCAGAGAAAGTCATTTTTTATATATTCTAGCTGGTGAGAGGCAAAGGTAAGAGGGAAAACATCGTTTTTCTTGTTGTCATCTTATTAGAGTGCCAGCTACCGACTTATTCTTCAACTCATGAGACAGTTAGGAAGTTACGAGCATATATCACGAGGGTGTCAGCAGATTTATCCATTTTTTTGTTTGCTTTCCACAAAATGATTCATGAATTTGCATTGCACGGCAGACCAGTAATTAGTGTGCTGTTGCACGGTGACAAAACGCTGTGGTGTTGTGTGTGTTTCTCCAGGTGGACCTGCAGCAGAACCCGTGGGAGTGCAACTGTGAAGCAGCTCCACTGAAGCGTTGGCTGGAGGGGCTCAGCGCCGTGGTGGTGATGGGAGAGGTGGTCTGCCACTCCCCGGAAAAGACCAAAGGAGTAGACCTCCGCTCCCTCTCCATGGAGCTGCTGTGCCCTGAGCTGGAGCCCCAGGAGGACCAGGAGCAGGAGGAGCAGACAGCCACCTCCACAGCCTCAGACAGCGGTGTGTCGGTTGGATACCCCGGCGCAGGGCTGGGCCCCCTGATCCCTCCGGGGAAGGATTCAATCCCTCTGTCGGTGTTAGTGCTCAGCCTGCTGGTGTTGTTTGTGTCGGCATTCTTCGCGGCAGCGGCACTAATCGCCTACGCCCTAAGGAGGAGGGACAAGCTGCCATTCCGTCGCCAGGGAGAGGTAGACTTGGCGGGCATCCAGATGGAGTGTGGGATCTTCACGGAGCAGACGCACCACCACCACCATCACCATCACCACGGCCTCCCAGAGACGCCACCCCTACCTCCGCCCGAACACAACCACGTGTACGACACCATCTTGCCCCCGGAGGCTGCATCGAAAGGTCCCAACCCCGCTGCAGCCCCACATATGTGTAGCAACCCCATCTATAAGGAGGAGCAGGATGCAGCCGTGAAACAGCGGCCGCCGCCGCAGCAGCAGCAGACGTTTGCAGCTTCCAAAGAGACAGAGGGAGGATACTGCTTTGCGGCGGAGAAGGAGAGGGAGTGGACACTGGAGGTGTCCTCATCGCCCATCAACACCGTCACAGGAGCAATGGGACCGCTCCCCGGCCTCCACGGGAACGGTATCCTCTGCCCCACGGTGATCGACAGCCAGGGCCCCACCCCTAATGTGGAACTGGTGGACTGCCTCTTCAGACTTCCTGCCCCTGAGTTCAGAGACCTGCCAGACAGGTACGCGAGGCCGCCGCCCCGCTACCCTCACCCACAAGACTCCAAACAGGACGCCAGACCCGACCAAACGCTCGTGGTCACCACCACCAGCTCCACAGCAGGTGGTGGTAACAGCAGCCAGAGCGAGCAGGGAGCCAGACTGAGGACCACGCCAGACTACATGGAGGTTCTGGACAGGTCTTACCAGTTTTAACCCCCCTTCCCACCCCCTTCCTCCTCCTCCTCCTCCTCCTCCTCTTCCCGCTACCCCTCTTCTCTTGTCTCCTCATCATCTCCCTCTCTGGTGATGAATCATTCAGTAACAATGACTCCTGTACAGAGGCTGGCGTGGCTTTGAGAGGAGCCTGTGGGGGAGCAGGACTACACTACACATGTTTATTCCTGGATAACGAGCTGAGGTCAGTTTTTGTATTTTCCCCACTACTGGCGTATAGGTTGGTATTTGGCAAGGATTATCTGATCCCAGATCTCTGCCTGGAGGCGAAACTTCAGCTGCAGCTACTACAGAATTTTTTCCTCTATTTCGCCTCGCAATCGTAAAACTACTGAGGCTCCGTTTTTTTCTACTCAGCGCCACAACGAGCAGGAGACAGCACCGCGGTGGGCGTCAGTGTTCATATTATCAATCTCGCAAAAAGACCTGCGTGGAGGTGAAACCCGCCGGCTCCTCGCAACATCAAACACAGAGTCATAAACTGTGACGGGCAGAAGGTGTGGAGCAAACTGGGTGGACGATGGAGAACCGACGGAGACCAAACGAGAGGGAGAGGGACGACTGAAAACAGCCAAGTGCCTTAGCAATGAACAGCCAGCAGTGTGGTCAATGCTTATTTTTCTATGAATACAGATCTATTTATCTAAACAAAGAGGTTTGACTACCAACGGATGGGACGCTGATGGACGACTGAGACTGAAACCAATCAAAAAGCCGCCGAATGATTGCATTCCCTGGATGAGCCAAAAATAATACTATACCCAGTCAATATTGGAGTTGTTTGTATGCAGTTCAGTTCATTTTCATCTCATCCGGTTAACTTAATTTGCTTATCCAGTTGAATTTTTTTACAGGGCTAGACGAGGGACATTTCCAGGAATAGTTTGGTTGCTGTGTGAAATTATGAAAAGGTTTTATGGATGAAAGGATACAGAGATTATGATTATTTTTTTTCCTCTAAGCGCAAGGCGAAACAAAGGAAGGCCGACACACAGAAGGACACTGTTGCAATGGATGCATTTTGGATTTCTTAATCAGCCAGACTTAATGAGGCCACAAGGACCTCTGCTCCCCCCGTTTTCTTTCATCGGACAAAGGCACAGAGGTTATTGTATTGATTTTTACGTATTTCTCAGAGGAAAATTGAACGGCAAAAAAAGAAACAATGGACTAAAAAAAAAACAACACACACACAGGACGTAAACGCATTTTTTTTGTCAGAAAAAAAAAGACAGACACTTCTATCAACTATCGATTATTATCTTTTACGGAGGTACCTTTTTATGCTTTCATCTCCTACCAATAGTAGAGGCAGTTGTGAATATATTTATTCTTAGTTTTTGCGTGTTGAAGCTCTCCTGTAAGGGATCATGTTATATTAATGTATAGGATGATTCTGCATCTGGTTCAGCCTTCTTACCGCCGACCCACGAAATACAATAAAGGGTGCTACGTAAAAACCTTTGGCGATGGCAGCTACTGTGTGACAGATTAACACACACTTACACACACACACATGCCCTGACCCCCACGAATACTCACTCTCTCCGTATCCGTTGCCTTAATAGTGCATGAAAGGAACAGCTCAAGGTGTGCTAAGCCTGTGAGCTTGTCCACGCAGCGTGCTGGGGAGATCAGATGAGAGTGGAGCCCGCAGGGTTCCTCACACACTAAAGGACGCAGATAGAAGTTAATAGTGTGAAATCTACCACATTAATGGTATAAAATCAATACAATCTATTTGTGAAATAAGGACATGTAAGGCCGGTGGCCCCCAGGAGCCAAGGTCGCGAATTGCTCCATCTCTCTCCGGCTTCTGTCTTAATGATTTTCTCCATCTTCCTCCTCCTCTCCTCTACTTCTCATCTCTCCGTTTGATTCTTCTTCTTCCTCTCTTTTCTCCTCTACGTCCCCTTCCTCCTCTTTCTCTCTCACCGCTCTGGCTGTCAGCTCAGCCTCGCAGGACAGACAGGGAGAGACGCTGTTCTATATGCTGCTCGACACACAGGTAGCTCGCACTGAAGTGTGTCTATGTGTGTGTGTGTGTTTTTTTTGTTTCTTTCTGCTGTGCTCTCTCCATCCTTCGGTGATGAGTGCAATTCTTCAGACGCCTCCTCACTCTCAGTGTTCAGAACTCTGTTGCACAGATAATCCCCCTGTGGGTGTGTGTGTGTGCACGCAGGACGGTGTTGGTGTGTATTCAGAGGGGGTATGCCTTTGTTTGTAGGTGTGTGTGTTTAAGGAAGTGTGTTTGCGCAGCTAGTTGAGTGTCTGTTTGCGTGTGCGTGACGGAGGAGAGCCAGTGCGACGCCACAGCCTCAGTCCAGCCTTAATCCTCTAAGCTGTGTAGTTCACTCATGCCACATCAGCCCCATTGTGTCTACAGACAAAGAAGCCCAGTTAAAACTAAATGTCAGTTAAAGGAACAAACGACTAATTATAGCATCATTCTCTGCGTCCTATTTCTCACTTTTTAACGCTTCCTTCTCGCTTCCTCCGCCTGATTCTTCTCCTTTTTCTTTTTTTCTGCAACACTTTTCAGCCCTGGACTTGTTCCAGCTGTGTGTGCGTCTGCATTTTGCACTTGTGTTTCCCTGTATGTGCGCGTGTATGTGTGTTTGACTATCTGACAGCTTTGCCATGGTTCATGTGTTTGGGTCCTGTCAGAGCTGTCCTGTCACTGTGTGAAAAAAATCATTCATTTCCCAGAGTCGAGGATGAAAGAGTCTTTAGACTTCAAACGCCTGTGGGCCTCTGTGGCTTAGATTGCCTCTCGCTCTTCCTCCACCGCCGTGTCATTTATTCCTTTAAAAAAAAAAAAAAAAGAAGAAGAAGAAGAAAAAACAGTGCGGCTGTGGCATCGGTTAAGTAGAGATGGCAGAGACATGGCGAGGAGCTGGACAATTAGCCTGATTAAAACACTGTCATTTCGCATAATAGATTTAGCCTGAGCTGCGATAGGCGGATCCCTTCTGAGTGTGTGTGTGTGTGTGTGTGTGTGTGTGTGTGTGTGTGTGTGTATGTATGTGAGGGCATGAAACCATATTCTTCTCTGCATAAACATGCAGGGTATTAAAAATGCACAGTTGGGCATAGTTTGATGTCAGTGAAAAGAGATCTATTTAAAAGTCATGGTGCATAGCTGCAGAAGCTTTGGTGTTTGGGCATGACAAATAGTTGTGGTCATCGCTCTCTCACACACACACACACACACACACACACACACACACATAAACACTTGCATCATTGTATCAGTGCTGCAAATGCGCGTTCTTTATACAAACACAGATGCAGGAGTAAACAGAGCCCACTTAGATATGTACACAAACTGCACATACAAGCACACGCACATGCAAACATCCCCGGCGTGTGCTGCAGCGCCGAACAGCGATGTTGTTTGGTTGCTCTGCATTGCAGTAATCGGCTCCACTCTCCTGCTCTGCTCTCACCCACAGACAATCACTGGCTCTCAATGGACAACATCAGCAAGGGAAATACCTACAAAGAGAGCAGGAGACAGAGGGAGAGAGCCAGCGAGAGCGCGAGATGGGGAGGGCGAGGAGGATGCTGGAAGGGAGAGGATGATGAGAAGGTATAGGGAGGGAAAGAGGGACTAAAGGGGACAGAGGGAGATTTGAAGAAGGATGGGAGGAGATGAAAAGACGGGGGAGAAAGATCAGCCAGAGCGGGTGTTTCCAGGCTTAAGGCTGCTGGAGGACTTGTTAATTTGCGTGCGAGAGGAGAGTTACAGTAGGTAGTGAGACGCAGCAGAGGAAGAAAAAGAAAGTACTCCCAGTGTGTGTGTGTGTGTGTGTGTGTGTGTGTGTGCGCGCGCGGAGCAGGCACCAGATATTTGCCGTTGTGAATCCACACATTTCCGTCCGCCTTTGCTTTGTGTCTGCTCTCCGGCACGCGACGCCACCCACATGATCTCTGTTAAGACTTGGAGCTCAATTATACGTGTCTGCCAAACAGTTACGGTCAGAAGAGGGAAGATTTCCTTGGCTCTCAGTGTAACATGACAATACTTATTTACTGTGTTGTGAAGCAAAATGGCGGATTATTCGGCGTGTTGGCTAGGTGTTATTATAGTAAGCTGATATGTGTCTGTTACTGTGTCATTCTGCTGTTGCGGTAAGCTGGTGTGGAGACACTAAGATGGCAGGGACCAGGCCCGGTTTGACGTTGAAAGCATCACATGAGCTTTATAGGCCTTGTGCTGCAGTTTTAAAGTGTGTATGTGTGTGTGGGTGTGGTTTTATATCTTTGTGCACATTTAAGGTTTGTGTGTGAAAGATCAGTAACAGACAGGAAAAAGGAGAATATGGATGAGAGGGCGGAGGAATCAGGGAGTTTTTTTGTTTTATTTTTTCCCCCTGATTTTCACAGAGAAATACTCTTTGAAAGAAGCAGATTGCTTTTCACACGGATTTTTACGTCCCCACATATCCAAGAAAGTGTTGAGTTTCCTGCTGCAGGAAGACACTGTCACCTCAGGTTTTCTCGCAACACTCAGAAGACAAGAAAAATAGGGCGTAATGTAGACGACCTGCTGATCATGCATCCGTGAAAGTTACATAAAAAAACAATAAATGATTAAACTATAGGTGGGTTTTTTTTTTGCTACAAATGTGTTTTCAAAATCAGATTTTCACTCGGATATTGCTGCTATTGATTTTTTTTATCCAATTTTCCGCTTTTTTAATATTCACTCTATAAGAATTATTCGCTGGATTGAGAGCTACAGCAAACATCAGAAAGCCTCAGGATCAGTGTCTCTCTGAAACAACTATGAGGCGGTGTTGATCGCACCATAAATTCTGATTTGTGATCGTGTCTCCCTGCTGTTTCGACTTGTTTCCTCCCCTGTCAGGAGCGAGCCAGGAGCAGAGGATTAGAGCCTACCTCAGCACTGGAATGCCTGGTGGCTGCTATTGCGCAGCTCCCATCACCTCCTAAATACCCCAGCTGGTGGTTTTAGTATTGAGAGGCAGTGGGCCACACAACTGTCGACTTTGCACTTCATTTATGATAAACTTAAGTCGGCCTTAATCTCCGCCCGTCGCCGTGTGTTGAACCAGTGTTTGGAACAACATGTTTATCTGGCGCGGAAGGCAAGTGGAGTGGGAGCCAGGGGAAGGCACCCGTTCACAGAGATAACCCAGAATATCTTCTCTCCCTCCAAGTGCCGCTCTGAAACTGGGAGTGTGATTGTGTTTATGTGTCTGGGTGCAGGGGCGTTACAGTGATTTATGGGTCCAGCACACAGAGGGGAAATCTGGGACCTCGTTTTGCTTTTTCATCAGCAGAGCGATGGCATCAAACATCTGAATCCACCCAGCCGCAACGCAAAGTCCACACATAGTGGTTTTCTAATCAGTTTTATAAATATCTTACATTTCGGGTGCTACACTGATGGCGCTGTGCTGGCTAAAAACAATAACATTAATGGCAGAGCTATAAGTAATTTTATCAGCTTTAAGAATCTAAAATGTGAAGCTTACACAGTAAAAATCCAGCTCTATCGTCAGGAAAAGATGTACGTTTATGCAAACTACACTTGCATGTTATTATGTAGCAGATATGTTGAAACTTTGGTGGTTAGGTTTAGGCACAAAAACCACTTAATTATGGTTAGGTAAAAGGTCATTTTATGTCCTAAAATACTTGGTTTTGGGGCACAATCCCAGCTCAAAACACAGTGATGTCTCTGTAAAAAGCAACAACTTTTCTCTCTCTCTAAGCTTATATTTTTGGCTTTTTGCCTTTATTAAATAGGACAGTCTAAACGACCACAAGCTGGAATCAAGCCCATGGCCGCCGTGGCAAGGACATTGTCTTTGTATATGGGATGCCTGCTCTACCCACTAAGCCACTGGGTGCCCCAGAAGGAACAACTTTTCATGGCATTATCCCAGCAGGAAAGACAACAAGGTCTTGGTAAAATACAATCGATTTTTGTGGCACTATGCCCAGTGGAAAAACAGCGACTGGGTGCTAAAAAACACCCATGATTGGTGGTCAAAAAGCTGCTGGAAATGCTGCAGATGTCTGGATAAAAAACAACCAGTTTTGTTGTTTGTTGGTCTCGAACAATGGTCTGCAGCTTAGCAGGTATCTCACCTAGGTGACACGCCATCCACCATCCCCTCTAATTCCTGATAACAGGGTCAGCTCATATACGTCACTTTAGAAATGTTGGTTAATACGTATGAATTGTGCAAATGTAACATATTTGTGGTCCGCAGAAACACTGGTGACGGGGATGTGGAAACCACTTGTAGTGATGATGGTCACAGTGATCAATGTGGATATCGATCAAAAAGCTTGAGACAGCCTCATTCCTAGACAACTGATGTTTAAATGATTCACTTCTAGTAATCAAGTGGTGTTCATTTGGGGTCTTTTCATACATGACAACATATAGAAAAAGAAATAGAAACTATTTTTACTTTACTGCCATG